GCAAGTCAGAACACTGCCTGGAGAACTAAGGATGTCAGGTTTCAGAATTCACTCACACGCCCAACTCAGCAGTTGCGGACACTTAGGAACCCCTGAAACGGCTAAACTGCTGCACTCGACTCCTGCGTGTGTGTGTGAGGGTTGAAACAGTTCACAATTAGGAATTCGGTTCTGACGTGACGCCATGGCTTCAAAACCACAGCAATGGCACAGTGATGCTTCTGGATGGTACCGACAGACAGAGAATTCGATGCCTTACAACCCAAGTGACCCAGTCTTGGGAACGGACATGACACAAGGAGAATGGGACCAATTGCGTGAGTTGATGCGCAAAGCAGAAGCTGGTGGAAAAATGAATGAACTATTGACCGTCCACAAAAAGGAGGTCAAGAACGCACCTATGAACAGACCCTATCCACCAGAAGATGATGATTGGAAGGACTGCATGGAATCGCATGTGCCTCCAAGCCCCTCCAAAGTGCATGCTCCGACAGGCTCGAATTCATCGGCTGCACCGCCTGGTGCCCTATGGCCGGATGCCTACAGCCAGAATGCATACAAGGTGCCTCCGACAACACCGCCGCCTACCTTGCAAGCTGGAGGGAATTCAGGGATCGTCGATGCACGTGAATACCACAAGAAATGGCAAGACAGGCCATATGATCCCAATGACGACCCTTGGATTGAGGATGATGTCAAAGACCCAAAGAATGACAAGCCTGTGATACAACTTTTTGGAAATGTGGTGCAGAAGAATGCGGATATTGCAGAGGCTAAAGCTGCGGCTGCAGCCATTGCTGAGATTGCCAACCGCTACTGTGCCGATGCTGATGGACAGTCTGCAGGATTTCCAAAATTCAATGCACAGGTTCCTCTACCTCCTGCAGCAAAGGCAGACCCACCGCTTTTGCCTGCGTCTGCAATTGGAAGTGAGAAAGCATTCCAGGAGCAGAAGGGCAAAGGAAAGAACTATGACAAAGGTGGTAAGCCTGACAATACCAAAGGTGGCAAGCCTGAATTTGCGAAAGGTGGCAAAGATGAGAAGGGTGGCAAGGATGACAAAGGTGGCAAGAATGTGGCAAAGGGAGAATTCAAAGGTGAATTCAAAGGAAAGGAAGGAGAGAAAGGGAAGCAGGGTCCTAAAGGACCAACTCTGCCTCCTCCCAAAGCTTCTGGTTCGAAGTGTGCACGCATCTCCGAAGAGCCTCCGGAGATTGTGGAAGGCAATTCGAACAAAATGCATGACAATGGCGCTATGACCGATGGCTCCAAAAGACGGCATGAAGCTGTCGAGTCGAATTCGGATGCAGAGAGTGCCAGCAGCGTTTTGGGAAGCTTTTCATTCATCTCCGACACCGGCGACTCCCCGCCACTATTTCCAAAGGTGCAGTCAGGGCTGCCAGCAACCCACAAGTGGGATGCAAACTGGAAGGATGCCACCATCGACTATGAAGAGGTCGATTTCAATGTGCCACAGCCTGCATGGATCAAAGATACATATCATTGGTCATGCACGCTTCTCAAGATGGGCCGTTTTGCCGAAAAGCCCATCACCTACCATGATTTTGTTGTGAGGGTCTTCAACCAAAGCATGGAGGAGTGCCGCTACGCAAAGAAGATGATTGGCCAGTTCCGCAAGAAATTAACTCCAACGCCGAGGACACAGGGTCCGGATTTCTGTGCATTCCTAATTCACTGCAGGGTGGACGCATTCCTCAATGCCGGCTATGTCTACCAGCGTGAATTCTCTTGGCGTTAATGGAGTGATTGCGGATGGCAACGTGGAGCTGGATGTGGCGATTTTTTTTGGTTTTGCATGTGCAATGTGCCTGGAATTTGCTGTGATGAATGTTTTCTGCAGAATCTTTGGGCTTCCTTGGTGATGAGCTGGACTGCAGGGAATTCGTTGTGGAGCAATTTCAATGTGGCATTCTTGCACAACCTTTTCATTTTTCTACATCAATGAGAATGTGGACACGGTCAATGGATATAAAACACAGGATTAATTCGAGTACACAGGTATTTTTGCAATACATCTGCAACTGGTGTGAAGATGCGACTTCGTGTGCAAGTCCTCACTGGGAGGTTGAACAGATGACAGCAATTTTATACATATGGACAGCATGTATGAGCCTTTTGACTTCGACTGAATTTAGCTGGATTTGGATGGAAGGGAAACGCAGCAAAAGGGGGTATGGAAATATACACTCCCGTGCATACAGTGGGCATGTGCTACGTTTCCTGCATGTAACTGGCATGGTGGCTATGCTTTGATGTTTTTGACAATACGGTTGGACAGAACTCTGGAAATGATGCAGAACGATGTGAAGACATCTGAATTTGGATACAGAAGCATGGAGATTTGGTTATTTTTGGATGATGATGTTTGACATCAACTTTTTGGAGAAGAACTTCGTTTTTCTGTGCAATTGATTTGCACTTGATGCAATCTGGACAGCAAATGAATTTGGAATGAGTTTTTGGTGCGAACGTTTTGAGGTGAAGTTTGACGTCGTTTTTCAACTCCATGTGCATGACGTTTTCCAACAATCCCAACAGAATGTTTTCTCAACTGGACTGCATTTTCGTTTCTGGAAGTTGCCAAATGTTTTTGACAACGTTTTTGATGTTTTTGGAACAACATGGTGAATTCGAACAAGTCGAATTCACCGCCTTTGAGTGAGAAGAAGTTTGTGGAGACCGTTTTTATTCTGAAGTTGTTTTTGCATGCCGCCGCTGCCTTTTTACAACAGAGCAGACCAGCCAGAACAAGAGAAGTCAAACATGCATGCTGCATGTGCAAGACATAGCTGGATAGACAGCTTGCTCGCTTTTTGTGTTTTCCTGTGTGGAAAAGGGAATTGAGTTTTGCAGTGACAGCCGTCGTGTTTTGGGTTTTAACTTGTTAAACGCTCGACGCGGAGTTAAGCCGACCCCTTGCGACGTTAGGAGCGCGACTAGTGGTTGTAATTAGGTCCTGTTGGATTTTCGCAGTATGGAACCTTCGATTTGAGGTATAGCTCTGCAGAAGACTGGTCAGTTCCACCGGACCACTGCTCCTGCCAGCCACTGCCATTGTGGATTGCGCGTGGTTTGTGTTGCTGCAGCGCTGTCCTGTAAAAGCTTCTCATTCATGTTCCCGTCGCATTCACTCACTACTCCCTGATGTTGCTTGACTCGTGATGCAATTTCGTGTGCAGGACGAGCTTCTACGACTTTGTCTATATATGTGGGAGGATGTTCAGGCTGGGGCATTCTCAGTTGTTGCCAAAGGTTGTTTTGTCAGTTCCACTGTGCCTGCAGGGATACATGCAATTTTTCGCCAACACTTTGTTTCTGATGTCTGTATGCAACCTTCGATCTGAGGTAGCTCTGCAGAAGACTGCGTGACGTCGCTCGCCGAAGCCACGGAGCTCTGGTTTGAGTCTACCTTCGGCGGGGCTGTTGAGGTGCTGCTTGCGATTGGGCCCGCGCCGACAACCTGGCGCGCATGGCAGACTTTGGAACCAGAGCGCTTCAACGACGGGACGGACGGCACCGTCATAGAAGTGCAGCGGACGGCGCTTCAAGTGGCCAAGAGCGGCTTCATCTTCGAGCTCCTCGAGGAGGCCGTGATGTTCCGTGAGGCTGAGTCGGACGACGAGAATCTTCCCTGGCACGGCCCTCCCTGAAAGCAGCCAGCTGACCAGCGGCCTCATTTTCATTTGACAACATGGTTTTTGACGAGGCGATAGGTGCAAGCAGAAATGTTTGCCGTGCCAAGTGAAAAAGAGCCCCAAGGAATATGTACAACGTGGATTCATTTCCAAGATTCGAAACGCGTTGCTGCTTCATGTTTCTACCTCCTGCTTTGTTAGTGGTAAGATTGTTTCAACAGCTGTTGCTTTCTTTGATTCAGGAGTCAATGGTCGAATGTCGTGATGAAGCTGCCTCAGTGCTATTCCAATTTGCTTCTCGCTGGCAGGTTCATATCCGTCTTCCAGTCTGTGTCAATCTCAGACCTTTGTTTCGCGAGTTGTTGTTGTATGCTTGTGCCCCAACAGACTTGTTTGACAAACTCTGCGAAACCATCCCTGGCCGTCACTGTGCCTGCAGGGATACATGCAATTTTTTGCCAACACTTTGTTTCTGATGTCTGTATGGAACCTTCGATTTGAGGTATAGCTCTGCAGAAGACTGGTCAGTTCCACCGGACCACTGCTCCTGCCAGCCACTGCCATTGTGGATTGCGCGTGGTTTGTGTTGCTGCAGCGCTGTCCTGTAAAAGCTTCTCATTCATGTTCCCGTCGCATTCACTCACTACTCCCTGATGTTGCTTGACTCGTGATGCAATTTCGTGTGCAGGACGGGCTTCTACGACTTTGTCTATATATGTGGGAGGATGTTCAGGCTGGGGCATTCTCAGTTGTTGCCAAAGGTTGTTTTGTCAGTTCCACTGTGCCTGCAGGGATACATGCAATTTTTCGCCAACACTTTGTTTCTGATGTCTGTATGCAACCTTCGATCTGAGGTAGCTCTGCAGAAGACTGGTTTGGTCTATGATCACACATGCTGCAATTTTTTGCCAACACTGCAATTTTTTGCCAACACTTGGTTTCTGATGTCTGTATGAAACCTTCAATTGGAGGTAGCTCTGCAGAAGCCCGGTCAGTTTCCACGGGAGCCCAAACGCGTCGGAGTAAAAGTGGTTCGATCGATCGGGGCACAAATTCTTACAAATCGAGTGCTATGTCGATTTTGCCTGCCCGGTGCTGAGCGTCGCCCAAACGCGTCGGAGTAAAAGTGGTTCGATCGATAGGGATGGCTTAGTGTTTGCAGGTGGTCACGTTGCTTGTTTTCTGTGTCATTGCAGTGCTTGGAAGTGGTTCATTTCCATGATCACACATGCTGCGAATTTTCGGCTGCTGTGTTCTACGACGTCGCATTGGATGCAGCGTGTGCTGCGCATTTTTTGGCTTAGGCTCGTGCTATCCGATTCCACATTTCCATTAAAGCTGACCATGGCGCGACGTTGGACTGACATCACGTCTGATGATGAAGATGTTGGTGTCTTCCTTGCTCGCCTTTGGCCGCAACCCTTGCAGCATGCTGGCCCTATCGCAGCTCCAGTTCCAGGCGCACTGCAGCAACGTGGTCGACCTCCGCGTCGTGTCCGCGATGCCCAGCGTGCGACAGGAGGCGCGGGCATGTTGTGCAGAGTATAACCAGGTCTGTGTCAACTCCTATATGCTGTTTTTCGGCGCTACCTCATACATGTCTTTCCACAGGTCCCTTCCTTGTCCTTCTTCTCGCATTCCTTCGTGGACTTGGAGACCCCAGTGTCAGCAAACATTCCTTGCATGTACTTCAGGGTTTGCTACAAGCGCATCCACGCACTGCGGAGCGCACACATGGAACACTGGTCTACGACCTGATCTTTTTCTCAAGCCTGGACCACTTTGTCAAGGTTGACCATGTGACCAGTTATCTTCGTGCCTTTTGGTCCGGTTCCATCTCATGGGAGGCCCTTGCTCTTTGGCACAAATTCTTACAAATCGAGTGCTATGTCGATTTTGCCTGCCCGGTGCTGAGCGTCGCTTTGTACGGGGGTAATCATTTTCCGGTCTCACGCAGACCGTAGTCCACATGTATCCGTTTCACTGGCGAACATTTTCTGCAGGATGTAAAATTCATCTTCCATGGTTGCCACCTTTTTGTTTCTTTCGACTGTGCCTGGCTGCCAGTGTAACGTTGTTTTGCTGCTGGTTCCACATGGTGCGGGGGTCACAGTGTGACATCATGCTTTCTTCTTTCACTTTCTTGGTACACCTGTCTTGCGCAGGTCCGATTCTATTTGGCTCAAAGATTGCTACTTTCGATAGCGGAGAGTCATGGCACTGGTGCAGCTTCCCTCGTCCGTGGTGCTCTTTCACCTCTTGGATCTGTTGCCCTTGGGCGCTGCGCTGCTACTCTGTGCTTCGGCGCATTTTGCCGATATCTCTGTGGATGCGTTCCGCACTTACGTACGTACAGTCCAACAAGAATTGCTGGCGAAGTTGGGCCCGATCCTGGACGCAGGTGTCAACATTCCATGCATGAGTTTCCACCATCGACCAAATGTGTCTTTTGATTTGTGCCTTCTCGAGCCTGACTTCAAATGGGTTCGGCCTGATGGTGGCTATGCAGAGCATCGTCGAAATGATATTGGAGACCATCGCCTTTGGAGACTAGTGGTGGCCGGATTGCGTCTGGTCCCGCAACGTCCCGGTGCCTTTGAACGGTTTTTGCAGCAGGCCCGCGGGACTTGTTGTCTGCGTCGATCTTGTTGTGTTGTATCTGTGTGTGTTTTTCACGGATACGATGAGCAGCAACCAAGTCGAAATCCTCTTTCAACGATTTCTTTTTGTTGTCTGCGTCGATCTCGTTGTGTTCTATATGTGTGTTTTCACACGGAGACGATAAGCAGCAACCAAGTTGAAATCCTCTTTACACGATGTCGCTCCTTGTACCCTTGACAATTAACTCATGGCATCAAGCGGTGTATCGCCATATAGGCTTGTCCCTGTCTGTCCATGCCGTGCTCTGTTGTGAGGACGACATTGCGTGCCCTCTGCACGCATGGCTTCCAGTCTACAATCATGATCTCGGCGGGGCGCCAGAATACGACGATGCAATTTTGTGGCTCAATAACCTTCTATTTTCCTGCGTATGGTGCCCCGAGATTCAAACAGGGCCGGTGCATCCAGCCTTTTCTGTTGGGTGGACTGCAATTCCAGCAATTGGTTCGTACGGATCCTATTTTCTCATGTACGCGCAGTGGCGGAATCTTGGCGTCGTCCTCACTTGCTTTGAAGCTGAAACGCCGAGTGGTTGGCCGGTACCCGGAGGCACTGCCATGGAGGGGCACGTTTCGACACACAGGAGGACATAAGAAAGTCAATTGAAGGAGTCAATTGGCTCTACGCCTTAGAGATACAGCTTCCGTTCCGCAAAATCGTGTGTGATTGTATTTGCTTTTGCTGTGTTTTGAACTGGATGGTTTTGCGTCCAAACGTATTGCCCGGAGAGCTTAAGTCACCTGCACTTTCGTAGCTGTTTCTGCGATTGAGCCATGCACCCAGCGTGGTGCCTCGGGGCTGTTCTGCTTTCTTTCTTGACAGGCGCGGGGAAGCCACATATTCATTGTGTAAGTACGCATCAAACCTTGCCGCTGACTGTACCTTTTGGTGCGAGGCTTAGATGACGGAGCAGGGTCAGATGGAATTCAAGTGGTTGTGGGTTTCATGGCATGGCGCTGTTAGATAGTGCCCATCCTTTTTGCTTCAGACTTCTCGCGGCTGCATCATTGCATCTACAACCGTGCAAGCACTACTGCCAAGGCTTGACTGCCAGAGGCTTTCGACATTTGATCCTGCCAGCAAATCTGTCTGTAGTGGTTGAGGCCTTGGCCAGGCGTCCAATGTCCTGGGAACATTGCTTCTGGAGGCGGGTCTCGGTTGAGGCTTGTTTCTTATATGCTTGCCTCATTTACATGTTTTTTGCTTACGGGCTGTTGTTGAGGGTGGTTGCGGGTGTGTTTGGTCCATGTCAGAAGCCATAAAGTTGTTTCTGTCCAGCAGTGTTTTCTCAAGCGAGCGTACATGAGCCATGCCTTCGCAACAGCTGCCGCTGCTGGATGCCCCGTGGCCGGCTCCTGGCGACCGGGTGCTTTTGTTGAAGAAGCGGTGGCTTGACATGATCGTGAGTGGGGAGAAGGTTGTTGAAGTGCGTGGGCAGCGCCTAAAGCCGGGACCTGCATGGCTTGCCTGCGGGCCCTATGTTTATGCCATTGTCGAATTTGATGCAGCGCAGCAGGCGCCAGATCTTGCTACGTTTCAACAGCGTTGGCCTGAACATCGCTTGGTTGCAGCTCAGTTGCCATATGCAACAACATGGCTTTGGCCCATCCTGTCTGTTCGCTCCTTGCCACGGCCTGTCGCTCGCAAAACGCGACCGGGCCCGGTCACGTGGGACAAGTTCGCCACTTGACCTTGCACTTTCGTGCCTCGAACAATGATGCGAAGCTGTACCTCTTCGGAGTTTTTTTTGCGGTGCCAAGTGAAAAAGAGCCTCAAAGAATATGTAGAACATGGATTCCTTTCCAAGATTCGAAACGCGATGCTGCTTCATGTTTGTACCTCCTGCTTTGTTAGTAGTAAGATTGTTTCAACAGCTGTAGCCATGTACGCATTTGGATCTACCAGTGAACCTGTTGTCCAGTGTATATTCACCGCACGCATGTGTACTGCTGTTCATTCGATCATTTTGTCGGTGCATCCTTGCATCCTGCCGTCGCGCAGCAGCCATAATTGTGGTCCAATTTGCGCAGTGACATCCTTCATCCCCTTGTGTCCGCACATGCCTGCGGCTGGTGGGCGTCACGCTCGAAGTCGCAGCCGCCCAGTTGCCGTGGCTGGCGCCGACATTCGCTCTGCGCTTGCCCGTGGTGCCACAGCGCGTCCAAGCACGACCACTCTCTCGCCCAGCCAGCAAGCTGCGCTTTTTGAGTTGCCGCTTTCCTCGCTGGAAGCCATCCAGGGTGCGTGGGAAGAGGTTTCGCCTGCATCTAGTTCGCTGTTGCTTCTGGCCAATCTCCGTCTGCTTCCAGATGCAGTTCGGCTGGCATTCGGTCTACCGAGCCCAGAGCAAAGTGAGTTTGAGGTGGATGCGCTTACTTCGCGGGTGAAAGAAGTCCTCAGGCTGGCTGTGCAATTTCGCCAGGAGCAGCTTAATGCTTGGCGTGCGTTGACGCACACTTGTGACTCGTGACAGTTTGTGCCGGCATAGGTTGTCCGAATGCGGCCGGTTTTTTTTACATGCAGGCCCCGGCATCGTATCTTGCGCGTTCGGCTCAGTCTGCAGCTTTTGTGCTGATTCGACACAACGTCAGTCAGCGAGATGACGTGGTTCGAAGCCGGGGTCAAAGAACACAGCTGTCGTTGAAGTTGTGCGCATGGTGACAGTTGTCAGCCTAGTCAGACTTGTCAAGTTAGGTTTGCTCGCATTCGCAAAAGGCCTCACTCCATAACATCGTATATCCAAACCGAGATACTTTGGTCTATGTTTAACACTGACATAAACATCGGTCACGTGCACTGCAGGGGGCTGCTGCTGCAGAGGCGGGGGCATGTTGTTGAAGTCCACCACCGGACCCTTTCTGTGACTTGTGTGTCAGGCCCATGTGTCATTGTGTGTGCAATGTGTCAAGCTTCTGGCATTTGGTTTGCTGCACACGTTCTTCAAGTTTGGCGTCTTGAGCCGCGGCATGATGATTTGCTGTTTTTCGGCTCAGGGATCCTCACGATGAACCTTGCCGACTTGTTGCATCCTTTGCCTGTGGGGGCTTTGGGCACCTTGCTGCTCTCCTACCATCGTCACCGTGGGCATGTGGACCTTGTGGTGGCGGATTTACACGCCCAAGGCTTTGCGCCACTTGGGGTGCCACGCAATGACGTGCAACATGTTCTTGACAGACTACAGCTTCAGTGTCCTGAGTGGTTGGTTTGCAATCCCTGCGATGCAACATCGTTGTGGGCCAACTGTCCATCCTGTGGGGAAACGCTGCAGTCGCAGCGCATTTTGTGTCATGTCCTGACTTTGGCAGACGGCTGCAAGCCCTTGGAAGTTGTGCGGGAATCTTGCTCCGCATGCAAAAAAACATTCTGTGGCTGCTGGTCGTGGATCCACGGCTCGAGTGGTCAGGCGCAGCTGGCAAGAGCCGTGCGGGCAGATGAGATTCTACTTCTCTGTCTCTGCCCCGAGAGAACATCGGTGGCTGGAATGGACCCTGCCTTGTTTACCTTCTTGACGGCGGCTCTTCTTCATGTTCGGAGCTCCTTTCGTGGTTTTGCTTCCCTCATGCTGGATTTCCACCAGATGCCACATGTTGAACACTTGCACGACAAGCTCCTGCATGCTTGGCTGGTCTACCACGCAATCCTGCAGCTGCAAGAGGCGAACTGGGACGAGCTTTCCCGGATGCCCTTCTGCTTCCAGCGGCACAATGCTGATCTTCGCTGCAGCACCTTGGGGTCATTGTACCTTCCGCTCCAACAAAAGTTTTTGCAGGACTTTGCCCAGAAGCATACCTGTGTGACTTGCTCCCGTCTCCCAGTTTTAGCTTTTGACGGCAAAGTCAACCGGGCAGTACCTGTCTGCATGCGAAAAACTGGTTCTGCACTCCATCTTGTGCGTGCCAATGTGATTCTTGACTTTGGTTGTCTTGCTCCTCGCCTCCATGGTTCTTATGCATGTGCAGCCCATCACACACCTGAAGCTGCATCCAGTACATCCTTGCAGTGTTTCCGCGGCCACAAACTTCGACGTCGCCGCAGTGCAAGGGAGCAAGAGTGCCATCAATGTGGTGCTAGCATTGTGACAAGGGAGCCCATCTGGCAATGTGGCTTGGGATGTGTGTGGCACATCTGTCACTCTTGCGCCGTTGCCACGGTGCCAGCCGACTTCCTGCAGATTCCAGAAGCCGACCAGACGGTGAGACCAGACACTGGCGACCTGCGTGCTGTTGAAACGGTTGCTGATGGGCCTCCACACCTT